GGGAGGGGGCATCCACCACCTCTTTGGCACACCCCAGAGAGGTGTTTAAGTTTCGTTGTGTGAGCTTCAGAACTAGGGAGAATGATGAATGTTTGTAGACTGCCAAGAGTCATTTTAACTTGTTTCCCTGTTTGCTGATTAACTTGTTTCAAACAGTGCTTTTGCATGTCTGACAGCAGAAAACAACAACCCCTTGTCAGTATGCAGGTTATCTGCCTGTTGCCTAGCTTAGAACAAGCTTGCAGAATTCCATCTACAAAGCATTCATGTGCCTGGGAGAGGAACATAGGCTGCAGATTTTTGATTTTGCCATTATGCTACAAAACATCAAAACCCTGTTATACAGCAGAACATCAGTGTTCAACGAATAGGAGTGTGAGTAAGAACGAACTCAGGCTTACTCTGCTTTGGTTCAGTGTGAACTTTGGCTAGAAAATGCCCTCCAGTGTTACCACTGCATCAGTAATTCTTTGTTTCTCTTTCTAAGAACATGGAAAACATGCAGTAGTCTGAGAGAATTTTCTCACGTCTTGGTTCTAGAAATTTCCTCGACATACTGACTTAATATGAAATGTTATGCAGGATTCCCTGTTTTAAGCACTCTGCCTCAACCTTTGAAGGAAGCTAGAAGTTACAAAATGTACTGGCTTTGTGCTTGTTCTCAACATCAGTCTTAAGGGTTAAAATCCAGTTGCCACTTGATTTACAAAGCAGCACTGCATAAACAGTGTTTCTTATTTCTCATCATACTGCCTTTTGATATGGAAGTTGAGATGAAATTTGTGATTGTCTAGGTAGTGGAGTACTTTATGGGTCTGTATCACTTTTCAGCTTTAAGTATTTAAAGGTCCTTTGAAGACCACATACACACAGCAAACCAGTGTCATTCCAAAAGTGCTTTTCCCTCAGAAACTTCCTTCTCATTTGTCATTGATGAAGGCATATTTATTACTTTCACTTAGTTGTTTCCCTGCTAGTTGTTTCTTGTGTTTCTGCTTGCAGCCTATGAATATCCCACTCCACTGAAGAAGTTAGTTACAGATTTCAATTCTATTCTTGTCATGTGTTTTGATGTGGTTTTTTTTTCTCTTACATAGCTTTGCTGAGTGAGGAGGTCACCCAGTTCTCCTTGCTGTTTGTCATACGAGCTGAGGGAAGCACTTCTTTGGAAGTGATGTCTGGACATAAATGTGAGTAGTTTAATAGCTAACTGAATTTCCAGAATTAGTTTTAAACTTTTAAATTTTCATCCCCCACATTCAGTTATCCAGTTTTGTTTAACTGCTACCATAACCTTTACTTGAATTTGCTGTTGGATAAACTTGAAAAAGTAAATGCACGACAACGTAGATCTTAGAATTTCTAGAAACTTAATCACTGCATTAGTGTGGGAAAAGTCCTAAGGTAGAACATATAGATTATATTTAATACAGTCCAAGACAGACTACTAGAAGGTAAAAAGAAAACAAAAATGCCTTTGTCACAGAGGATAAGTGTATGCATGGACTAATTATCACCAAAGCCCTCTGTGGGGGAATTTCTTTATATGTCCATAGTCGTGAATACCCTGAGTGGGAGATAGGAAAGTTCTGCAGTTTATATGGCAGGCTCCTATCCGTGTGGCTTTTCCTCACTGTGCATACATGCCAGTACACTAAAACTGAAAATAAATAAACCAAAATAAAATGTATGTAGTGTATGCTGCATACTAAATGTTGAAAATACACAAGGTTGTCTTGCATTTGGGTAAGTAAATTTTGCAGTATGTGTAACATAATACATAATGTGTATAGCTAGTTTCAAGCACTGAAGAAAATTACATTTGAAGTGGCATGCATTAGAAGGAGTGGAGCTGAATCTAAGGCATGAGGCAGTTATACTGTTTGAGCATTTAACAGTGCATTTGCCTCTGCCCTAGACTGCATGAAAAGCAATATATACCAGCAGATCATCATCTTCTAATGTCAGCTGCTGAATGTTTGAGAGATGGGAAGCTGTCTTGCTGTAACCTTGGTCACCCTGCTTAAGAAAATAACTCTCTCCACTCTTAAAGACTCTGTGGTTGGATACCAGAACAAGTGAGGAAGGATTCAACTCTATGTGCTTTTCATTATGGCAGTTTAACAAATATATTTGAAAAAGTGTATCTCTGTTTTCCCTCTGTTTCTGAAACTACTTTAGTAAAATAATTTCTGTTATAGACAATATTGAGCTCTCACAAGACTTCAAAATGTCAGGCAAGAATGAGCTGTTTAAAGACAAGTGAAGTGAAAGCAGAGAGCATTTGCCATGGAGGTCAGGCTGGCCTGTAGTCTGTGCTTGTAGAAACATAATGAAAATCGATGCTCACTTTCTTGTCTTTCTCCTTTTCTTTTGAGCTCCAAGGCCCTACCTAATGTTTAAACTTATTTCTGGCATGCACAGTACAACTGAAAACTGCAAAATGTACAAATTATCCAGCTGTCTCTCTTCCCTCTTTCTTGGGAGGTTTCATCATGGAAATAGTGATGGTGCAAGAAATGTACTTGTGAGTTCCTTCAAATCTGATTGTGTGTAGCTGGCGTTGTATCAGTTTCTAAGTGCAATTGACCTTTTACAGGGTCAGGATGCATGCAACTTCAGCCGGCACATTTTTTTGCAGATACAGAAGACTAAATCATATGAAAAGAGGACACATGCTCACAGCACACCATTCAGTGTGTCTACACATTTAATTCTATTCAGCACCAGGAGAATAATGTTAGTAATGTTTGTGCATAGCAATGCACTTGGCATCTTTTTGAAAGGATTTTTCAATAATCAGAAGGAAATCTCATTCAAGTCCTAAAACCCTGCTTTCTGAAATGTCTTTTTCTCTTTTCATTTAACACCAGTCAGAATATATGGAAGCATGCTTCAATAAAGCTGTAAGACAATACATGTATCAGTATTAAGGTACATGTGATGTGTCTTTAACTTTTAAGAATTTGCAAAAGTAGCAATTAGGAGTTTGCACATATCACTGTCGTCAAATCGGTTTGTAGGTGTCACTGTTTTTGAGCGGCCTTGATGATCAAACTGTAACATAATAACAGAGCTAGAAAGGGAAAGAGCAGTGATAGGGACATGTTAAAAGTTTACCAGTCTGATGTGACTCTCTGTTAGCATTGAAGAGATGATTTTGGAAGAGAGAGAACGCATGGTCTCTTGCATAACCAGAGAAAGGTTTCAGTATTGCTGGTGATCATGGGTCACATAGGAGCCAGAGTGTGATTTGGGGTTTATGATCCATTGAGTTACATTAGTATCACTTGCCTAATCGTACTGTGGAGTAGTTCTTAATCTTAGCTTTACAGCTTCTAATAAAATGTGTGCAGCATACTCTTCATTAATTGTACAAATTACTCATATTAGGTTGTGGCAATACTTAAAAGTTCTTCAGAACACCTGAAAATTCTGATATTTTCAATAAGGTCTTGAAAAAATCAGTTAGGTATTTTTTGTTAGATTCCATTCCCACATTTACTCGGTAGTTTTATTCTTTTAAAGTAAGAAAAGCTTGAGGAAAAAGTCTGAAATGAAGGATCAGTCCTCATACATCTCATCTGTCTGTAACAGAAGTTAACTTTAATTGGAACTTGCATGTTTTATTAAAATCAAGACAACAGATAGAACAGATAATCAAGCATCTCAGTACTTAGAACAATTTATGAAAAAGGTCTTGCCAAATTAGGGTGTAGTTATTGTGATGTCTGTTTAAAAAAAAAAAAAAAAAAGTGTTTTTTTTTCTGATATTCTGTATCACTGCAATGTTTATTTGTAGTCAGATACTTGGAAATACTGAAAAGTGGGAAAAGATGTTGAAATACAGATTCGCAGAAGTTGAGACTGAGGGAGTTGGGCTTGTTCAGCCTGGAGAAGAGAAGGCTGCGGGGTGACCTCATTGCAGCCTATCAATACCTGAAGGGAACCTACACCCAGGAGGGGAGTAAACTCTTCAAAAGGGCTGATAACAGCAGGACTAGGGGAAATGGATCCAAGTTGAAGGAGGGAAGATTTAGGTTGGATGTTAGGGGGAAGTTCTTTACAAGGAGAGTGGTTAGGCCCTGGAACGGGCTGCCCAGGGAGGTTGTGGATGCCCCGTCCTTGGACGTGTTTAAGGCCAGGTTGGACGGGGTCCTGGGCAACCTGATCTGAATGTGTATGTTTGGTGGCCCTGCCAGGCAGGGGGGTTGGAACTACATGATCCTTGAGGTCCCTTCCAACCCGGGTGATTCTGTGATTCTGTGAGACTTAGAGTCTTTTTTTTTTTTTCTGAGAAAGATCATTTTGCACGTTTTGGAAAGATGGCAGCAGAATCTTGCTTGGTTTGAGGTAAATTTTCATGTTGCAATTTGTAACTTTCAGATTAAATAAGTTGCAGTGTTTACTTCTACAAGTCTGTCCTTGAATACTATCAGGAAGGTAGTACAGAACGTATTCAGCAACGAGGACATTGTGTTATTCAAATAGCTGCTGCAGCAGAAGGACAGGATTTTTAATACATTCGTAATTTGTGCAGTGGAAAAACAAACATTCTCCAAAACCAGCATTTTTAGTAAATTGAATCTGTTGACACTAATTCTGTGAAAACTCTGATATTTTGCTGCCTTATGAGTGAGGAGAGGATGGTATGTTGTCTATAAAGCTTCCCTTTCTATGTCTTGGAAAAAGTATAAACTTACAGCAGATTTTATACATCAACGAGTGTTTGTCTGTTGCTTTCAGTGAAGAATACTGAATTTCAGAACTCCTTGGTAGTCCAGTGGTATGAATACTAATGCATTAAGCACCACAAAATCCACCTGTACTCTCAGCTGACAGAATGGCTTTGTAGTTACTTATCTCCTGTAGTAGCTGAGACTTTCCCTGGGTACTTCTATTTTGCTGTGTGTGCACAGAAAAACAGTTTTGATTCGACATTTTTATTGTGCTGGCAGTGTCCTTCTTGGTGCAGTGTTTGGTAAATTACTGTTTTTTCCTTAAAAACTAGTTTCACACCCTAATTTTGAATAGTTAACTCTGCCTCAGCAGAAGTTCCCAAGCCCTTCTTTCTGCCAGCTTTTTCCTTGCTTGAGTTAGACTAGTATGCCCACTTACACTTTCTCAGGGTCTGGCTTCCTGGGTTCTATGTTTGTTCTGCTAATTCCACTATTATTCCATTTCAAGAAAAGGTTGGAAAAACCAGTGATATATCCAAATAAAATAGTGTAAAAGAACATACAAGATAAAAACAAGCTGGTGATAATATAAAGAAAATGATGTAATAAGTGTCCTAGTTGCAGAAATTGTTTTGTGTTTTTTTCTTATTTCAGATTTAAAAATGTCTGACCAGAAAAATATTATATACAGAATTCACTGTATTGAAAAGTTACTCTCTGAGAACAATTTCCAAGATATTGAGGATCATCTTAGAGAGCTTGAAGATGTCAGTATGACTGTAGAATATCTTCAGGAGACTGAAGTTGTCAAGATTGTATACAGAGTACTCAAGAGCTGCCCTTCAGCAGAGCTGAAAAAGAAAGCAAAGCAACTGTTATCAAGGTGGAAAGCACTTTACAAGAACAACCGTCTTCAGTCAGTGCAAGGCAAGAAGTCAGTTTCTGTGTGTGTGGGTGAGGAATCTGAACATCTTGGGATTCCTGGAGAACAGTTGCTGTCTGAAGGCCCTTGTCAGCAGGTGGTATTAGCTGCTGCCCCTTCTAAAATGTTGGTCCCACCACAAACCATTAAAAAAGTGGTAAGTAACAATGCAGAGGGCAGCATAGATCAGCTTTCCCCTTTTGAGGAAGGACGCATCGATAATGAAGGTTCTAAACCTCTTGTTAATGAAGCAGGGTTGCAGCAGGATCACATGAGAGCTCTGAGGTGTAAATGCACAGATCTTCTTTATAAAGCTTTGACTGGTTCTGCCAAAGACTGCCAAGACAAAGAAGAAACTGATAAATGGCTAGAGCTGTCTAAAGAAATTGAAGAACACGTTTTTGCTCTTCATTCTAAAAATGACAAAAAGTATAAAAATTGCATCAGAAGTAAAATCTCTAACCTGAAGAACCCTAAAAGTTGCAACTTAAAACATAACCTTTTTTCAGGGACTTTGAGTCCAAAGGCTTTTGCTGAGATGACAGTGATGGAAATGGCCGGTGATGAACTGAAACAGCTCAGGGCCCTGTACACAGAGTCCTCCATTCAAGAACATCAGCTTCCACAAGTTATTAATGGCACACAGACAAGCAAAATAAAGTGTAGGCGCTGTGAAAAATTTGATTGCACTGTCACTATGATTGCCAGAGGAACTCTCTTTCTTCCAGGCTGGGTGCGAAACACAAATCCAGATGAACAAATGTTGACCTTTGTTATTTGTAATGAATGTGGAGAACAATGGTATCACAGCAGATGGATTTGTTTGTAATACTCACTCACTTTAAGAAGTCACTCAAAAGCACAGATAAGAGAAGATGTCTCTTGAAACCGTGTAGTGTAAAAGTGGATATTGACACTATGTAGACACAAAAATTGCAAAAGCACTTTTAAAAGTTGCTAAGTTATTTTTGAAGATCTACTGAAATTTGTTTGGCTGAGGTTTTTTTGTTTGTTTTTTAAGTGGTATGGCTATGTGTTAAAACAACAACAACAACAAAAAAATAAAGGGTCCTATTTAGCAAACTTAATTTTCTTGTATGACAAGAACACCCATCTAATTGATGAAGGGAAGCCATCTGATGACATCTTTTTCATTTTCATTGAAGCTTTCAATACTGTTTCTGACACAATGCTTCTGAACAAAATGCCCAGCCTACAGTTAACCAAAAAACATAAAGTGATGTGTGAGCAGTTGGCTGATGGGATTGGTCCAAAGGGTTATAGTAAATTGAGTTACATCAGGATGGTAGCTGCTCACTAGTGCAGTTCCCCAGAGCTCCATTTTAAATCCAGTTCTCTTCAATGTTCTCATAAATTACTTGTATGTAGGAGGTGTTTTGAGCAAGTCTGCTGATGATTCTAAATTCGGAAGAGCTACTGACTCCGTTGAGGGTGAAGAGGCCTTGCAGAGAGATCTTGACAAATTAGAGGACTGGGCAATCACCAACAAGAGCAAGTGCTGGATTCTGCACCTGGGAAAGCTTCTGCACCTGGGAAAGTCTAGACTGCTGAACTAGAGGCTGGAAAGCAGCCCCATGGAAAGGGATCTGGAAGGTTCAGGTTTATGGCAAGTTGAACATGAGCCAGCAGTGTGCCCTGGCAGCCCAAAGGGCCAACCATACCCTGGGGTGCACCGGGCCTGGTACTGCTGGGCAAGGGGAGGGGTTGTTCCGCTCTGCTCTGGGCTGTGCAGCCTCCCCTGCACTGGGTGCAGGGTGCTACAATGGGTGCTACAATGTAAGAAGGACATGAAACTATAAGAGAGCGTCCAAAGGAAGGCAATGAAGCTGGTATAAAGTCTGGAGGGTAAGTTGTATGAGAAGCGACTGAGGTCTCTTGGTTGGCTCAGTGCAGAGCAGAGGAGCTGAGGGGGGACCTGACAGTGGCTGCAGCTCCTCGCAGGGAGCGGAGGGGCAGCGCTGAGCTCTGCTCTGTGTGACAGCGACAGGGCCCGAGGGAACGGCGTGGAGCTGCGTCAGGGGAGGGCGGCTGGGGGTCAGGGAAAGGGGCTGCACCACAGGGCAGGGGAACGGGATGCACAGCGCTGTTAATACTTATTAATACTTGCACCCTCAGGATTGCAAACTGACTGACTATTTTTAAATAGTTTTCTGTGGTAATCCAATGCAAGCAGGCATTCTTCCATTTCCTTCCTTCTCAGTCACAATCAAACCCAATAACAGTTTTTAACTGTATTTGTTACAAAGCTAGACATTAAAAGATTAAAATGTGTGTGCAAATTTTGTGAAACTCAGTAATCATTAATAGAATTTCTGTTCCTGCTAGAAAAGCTGGAGTCCTTTGCTTTACCCAGGAGTAACTTGTTCTGTTTAAACTGCTATAACATAGATAGCTGCTAAGTTCTTGATACTACCTTAAAGCCAGGCACAAAATAATTCTGCTTCTGAACTAGATTGCAATCTGGGTCAAGGCAGAGGCCTGGAAGTACTGGTGGAAAAGAAAAGAAAACATTGGGAGGCAGGGAAAATGAGGAGAGCCTGCTGTAATTATGTTATATAAATATATAGGAAACGAGGCCTTGCTTATTCTAGCGTTGGTAGAAAAATCTTGTCTAGTTTCAGTTTCACACCTGGTTCATTTTGATAAATGTGTGAAAATCTAGCATTTAGCAATTGGAGAAACTGAATACAAAATCACAAGTCTTCTTATTACTTTCTTGATCATCTCACACCATCAATTATTTTAACCTAACACAGTTCATTACCACTTCATTTTTTTTCCATCTGTGATTGTATCCACTCCTCATGACTGAAAAGATTTAGTACAGAACAGGTGTCCTGTGGTGTCATGTGCTGCTACGTATCATTGCTCTGCAGACATTCAAGTGCCAAATGTGAGTGGCAATCACGCAGACAATCACTCAGGCGAGTCATGCAGACTTTGCTCTTATTTGAAAAGGTGCGGTCTCAGTTTCACTATGCAAAGTACCGTTCCAGGCTGCAGTCTGTCAATAGGTTATGTCATCTTTACCTGGACTGTGTAAGTGCCCAAGCTTAAAATGTTTGCCTGGATAAGATTATGTGCTTTGGCTCAAATTGGCTCTGAAGAGTCAACCTGCAACCAGACATTGTGTGCACCAGCATGAGAGTAGAGATTACTGGAATACAGGGAATGTCAGGACCCCAAAGCAAGAATAAAAAGGAAGCTTTGAAAGGTGAAATTTGTTTATGTTGTTTTTTTCTAGGTTTGTTCCCAATGGGAAAAAAATCTCTCAACTTCTTGAACCGGGGACTATTGCTTTTCATCTAATTGTTAGGTATATCCATGCTGCTCCTCCACAAAGGGGCATGGCATTAGGGGGAAACCAAACAGACAAATATATGCAGAATAAGGCTGAAGCATGTTTTTGTTTTTTTGTTGTTGTTTTTTGTTTTTTTTTTTAATCTTTTTTATTTTTTATTTGTTTTCCCTGAAATACTGTTAAGTACAGCTACTTCCTTTATCTTATGAGTAGTACCAATGAGGTATTAAATACAGATTGCCCTCAAAGTTTAAGTAACATGTACCTAGAAGACTTCTGTCTCTCAAGAAGTCTAGAGTTAAATTAATAATGAAATTCATACATTTTTTTCTGAGAGATATTCCCCTAACTGGAGTTGATGAATGGGAGTTAATAGCTGAGTTCATGACAGCACTTCTCATTCCTGGAGATCCCCTGCAGTTAACTCTGTCCTGCTGAGGGCCTTCGGTTTTTCCCTCAACCGTTTTCCTGTAGCGCATTGCTCTACTGCCATTTGTTGCTTAGAACTCTTCCTTTCCAAAACAGAAAGGAAACAGTGCACTTTTGTTGTTTATTTCATTTCAGTCTGCTATGGTACATACAAAAGAAAAGGTTGGTTGTTTTTTTTTTTTGTTTGTTTGTTTCTGTTAGCAAAAAAAGTTAGCTACTCATTGGTAACTGTTGATAAGGAACAAATATGTTAAATTATGATCCTTCGGGGAGATAAGGAGTGCTTTGATACTTGCTTGGGGGAGCTGGCTTGCCAAAGTGTGGTATTAGCGGACAATAAAGGCAGCTGACATCATATCCCCTTATTTTTGCTGCTGTGATTCAGACAGGAGGTGACACAGTCATGTTTTATTGAGGCAAGGTCATCACTTGCTAGGATGGGACAAAGTCTCCTTGCCAGTTACGGATGGTAAAAAGCATCATTCATGTGCCGTGCTGCACAAGGGCTTTGCTGATGCAGAACACTCCCTTGAATGAAAACCCCCACTGTCTTCTGCTTGCCATTCTGCTGCTGAGAGAATGTGGCATAAAACCAACCCTCATGCTGCTCATGCGGCCGCCAGTGCAGGGTGCATGGATGAAGACCTCAGGAAGAAGACCCACAGCATCCTGCCAAGGCAGGCCCAGCCAGTTGTGTCAGCCAGCCCACAGGGATGGGCCATGCCAAAGCCGAGCCAGGGCCATGGGTCTGATGTAGGGGCCAGGCCTGTGGTGCCATTATGGAGTGATGTTTCCATCCGGGTCTGAAATCAGAGCCATTTCAGTGAGATCTGGCCACACAACATCTTAGATGGTCATTTCCTTCAATCTGCTGCTGAGGTGTGACACCTATTTTCCTTGAACGGCCTGCACACCAGCAGTGCTCCTGGGGTTCCTGAGATTTGCTACGTTCCTTCATGTTCCTATCTAAAAAGAATAAAGGTACACCTCACCATGAAAGTATAAGAATTTTGTTCCTAACTCAAATTTTAAAACTTCTTCAAACAGATCGAAATGCCTGAGAGCCAGTATTCTCTCAAGAGAAAATACAGGTGGTAGCTGCTGCATCCCCGGAATATAAAAACTATTTCCTCCACTTCCAAAAGCTAAGGGGTTTTTTTTTTTTTTTTTTTTTTTTTTTCCTTTTAACATCACAAGATAATGCTCAGAACTTATATCTTAGAACAGTCATTTAAAGATGCCGTTTTCTGCCCACCCAGCACTTCCTCGCGGTTTACTTCAGCCCTGGATGAAAGCAGATCCCAGGAAACAAGTCCTTAAACATTTTCAAAGTCCAGCTCTGTTACATAAGAATGCCTGTAGTGTCATCACATTTGCCTTAAGCCTGGGTGCTGCTGTCAGTCGGAGGCATTTCCATCCGATAACACGGAGATCTTGTTTTCCAATCCTTTGTACATCTGATCCAAACACCGGATGACTGTGCAAGCTGCAGATCCAGTCTGATTGCCTCATCCTTGTGATCGAAAGCATGTGACGGCTGCCGGAGCAAAGTGATGTATCAAAGGCTCATCCCTTAAGCCTGTAATCACCCATTCCTCTTGATGATGCGGGGACCTCTTTAAATGCACTTAAATACATTTCTGCTCATTTCGCGATTTGCCCCATCCTTGTAACACGCTTTAAGAGCGTAAAAAATACTCAGTCACCTCTTTTCTTCACATTTCTTTCCCGCAGTCGTGTTCTCAAACAGCCACGCGGGCTTCATCCCGAGCGGCCCCAGGAACAGGTGCCTCCCTCCACACCCCCTCTAACGGGGCTCGGAGTGGCGAATGGCCCCACCGCCCCGCCCACGTGAGCGGAGACCCCCCCCCCCCCCCAAGGGCGGTGTCGCACCCACCCGCCCCTCCCCTCTCCTGCCGGGGGCAGAGCCAAGCGGGGCTCACGTGACCTGCCCGCCCCCTGCCTCTCCGCCATGTTGTTTCTCCCTTCCCTCGGCGCCCGGCGGCGGCGCAGCTGGGCCTCGGCTTCTATTCGCGGGCAGGTTAGCGGCCGTCTGGCGGGCGCGGAGAGACTCCGTGTATCTGAGGGGGAGGCGCGACGGGGCTGGTGTTCGTGTGCGGGGGCTCGCTGTGCGGAGGGATCCGCGATCCTGCCACGGCAGTCTTGGGGTGCAGGGGGTCTCGCCGTTGCCTTTCCACCCGTCCGCCTACGGCCGTGCGCTGGTGAGCCCCGGACGGGGGGGGTGGCGGGTTGTGCCCGGCGGCGCTGGGTGAGGGCCCGGCTCGGTGCGGGCCGGGTGGCGTGAGCGGGATCCCGTGACTGCGGGCGCCTCGTCTGGGAAATGGCCCAGCGGGGCTGAGCGTCCCGGACCGACGCGGCCGCTGTTATCGTTGGTCTCCCGTTTATCGGCGTCGGGCGGTTGCGTGTGATGGGCTTCTAGGGGGGATCTTCTTGTGTGCCTGCTTTGTTTTGGTAGCAGCTTATGAAGTAGTTGGCTGTAATGGCAGACTGGGGGAGGAATTGTTCAGCGTGGATGCAAAATCCGTTTCTGTCACTTTTTATCTCTAAAGAAACCTAGTATAGCTACCCTAAAGGTCATCTAGGGGTGTTAAAGCTCAGTGGTCTTTAAGGTCCCTTCCAGCCTGAGCCTTTCTTTTGGTTCTATGGGACTAAAAGTTTACTTCTTTTAAGTTATTGTTCTCCTTGGTGCTCCCCAGCACAAGCAGTCTGGGTTGGTATGGTGCAGCCTGCTTACTCACTTGGGGATGGGCTTTGCTCGCACGTTGGAAGAGCATGAACTCACAGTGTAGCCTGGGCTGACAGGGGCAGCTATTGCTAAGGATCTCTGAAGGAACAGGGAGACTTATGTACTGGAGAGAGGAGCACAGATGAGCAGCAGTAATTAGCTGCTTCGTAAGTTACAGAGCGGGAGCAGTAACAGAATTGGGTTGCAAGGAGAGTCAATGTGATCTTGTGAATTCCTGGAGATACTGGACCAACTTACTCTTGAGGTTGCTTTATAGTTGGCTTGAAGTCAGTAATACTATTATGACATAATTAGGAGATGCTTACTTGTGAGCTTCTGAGAATATTTTTTTTTTTTTTCCTTTTTCTGAATTTAATCAGAGTTGTCGAGTTTGGTCCTTCTGCCTGGAAGTGAGGAATGAGGTGGAAGGTGAAGGCTGTATCTATATGGGGCATTTCTCCTGACAAGTTTTTCTGATCCACTTTGCAGTTAGATGTAAGTTATAGTAACTAAAGCAATTCTGGCAGTAGGCCTGGGATGCTTGCATGATCCAAGGGTTATGCATGCTGAAGGATTCCTGTTCTTGGCTGCTGCCTCTTCCATTGTCTTGTGTCATTCCAGGCAACTACTGAACTGCACAGGAGTTACAAGTAACCTGACAAAGAAACCAAAGAAACACGGAAGACAACTTTTGGGGCATGCAAATGAGTAGCAACAGCTTAATGTCAATCCATTTTACATTGTGTTTATATTACTGAGTATTAGGAATAATCTTCAGTGTTATTCTGATGTTAGATAAACTGTGTCCACGCTGCTGATGACTAAAGGCAGTTTTCGGATAACTTGTCATCAAGTTATCTATCTGACAGAAAACTTAGCTGCCATCACATTGCAGTAGTGCAGTCGTAGATGAAGGAAGGGTGATTGGGATCTCAGCAGGTCAGGCCATGTGACTGGAGGGCTGCCTGCTTTGCAGAGAATTGGGCTGCTGTCGAGGGCCCCACTGTAAAGGGTATTTCTGAGCCACAGCTTTTACATGGGTGTTTTTTGGAGGGGAAGGTCAGTTTGAAGACTGTTGTGGTCAAAACTGCAGTGCATTAAGAAGTGCACAGCTTGGAAGATCTTGACTTAATGTCTGTTCCTCTCTGAATTTGAAAGCAAAATATTTCAAAGTGAGGCAGTCTTGTGGCCCTTTACCTACTGGAGAACTGTTCTTACGCTGCTTTATGACCTGGAGTGTGAATGAAGCAGTGTCCTGCTTGTACCTGGACAAGGATTCTTTACCTAAATGAGGGAAAAAGGAGTAAATTTGTTTCTTGCTTTCTTTTCACCTTTCTGGAAACTTTCAGATCTGCAGTAGGTGATAAAACTGCTGTAGGGTTGGAGAGTTAAGACAAAGAGCAAGTGTTAACCCAGTTTTCAACACTTGATTCTTGACCCTGCCCCTGACATTGCAGCTTTGCAAGTTTTTGTGATTGATTTGTTTTTATGTTCCAGATGTTTTGCAGAGAAGCAATTTTCAGTATTTAATGAGCCATTGTAACTAAAGCAGGAGAAGGGTTTTCTTTCTATGTTAGTGTGATAAATATTGTCAAACACTTTAAGAAAAAAACGATGGATGGGGGAGTAAGTGCCTGTTGTTATTGCAAGGCAGGTATTTTTGTCTGACAACCTATTGAAGTGTTCTCTTTTTAAAACAGCAAGGATTACTGGTTTAAAATAAAAGAAGATGGCTTAGCAAAGGTGATTCTGAATGGTCTTCAGAGCTGAAATGGTTGTGTATGTGTAAAGCTGAGGATAAGAGATTATGAAATACTGTCAGTGTGACTGTTACATCAGTTAGGAAGGTGCTAATTTTGCCTGTCAGTAACTGAGACAGCATTTTGCCTTAGATGTTTATCAAAGATGACTTTTCTTCTCTCAGAAGACTTGGCTGAAAGTCTGTGAAGCTCTAAATAAGCATGATCAGGTGGAAGAAACTTGAGTGCTGTTGGCCAAAATTTTACTTCAGCATTTAAATTCTTTCAGTTTTTGACACTATTTGGTATATACAAATCCTTCTCAATCAGTTAACCTAGTATAGTCTTTTTATTATAAAAATAAGCTTCAGTGTTGCTGTTAAGATTTTCTAGATCCAAACCAATGACTTTTCTTTGAGTGTAGCCTCCACACCAAAGTGCTCAAAGAGGTAATTACACTCAAAAATAAAAGGCAGTTAAGAAGTTGTTACCATGGAATTAAGTAAATCAAGATAAAACACCATTGCTTTCTCTAATGCACTTAAGCTCTGAAGGGCTGGAAATTGAGGACTTTCTGTAATGCAAACAGCTTTCGTTTTATGAAATAGCTGGTAATGTTCTATCTTGCCAGCAAATGTTTGGACTGCCAGTGAGAATCTTTCAAATTCAGTTCAACAGGGGGATTCTAGGAGGGGAATAACTAAATTACTTCTAAAAGAAATGACATTTAGTAGAAATGGTTCCCTGCTTTAACAGTAATGAAGTCAGTGGTCTAAGAGCTTATGACCTTATGAATTGGAGGAGGAAATTCAGAAATGGTTACCAGAACGTGTTACAGTGGGGCTGCTTTTAATTTGTTTGTTTCGGACTTCTTGTTTGGCACCAAGTACTGAAATAACATGGAAAAATAGGGGGCAGATCTGCTCATAAACTGCTCTGTGTACCAGGCTGAGACTGCTTGTACATTACCATAATTGTGTAGCACAGTAAGTTGAAGTTACTGGAACAAATACCTATTTGTAATTCTGTGGTGTCTTGCAGTTCCTGACGTTGGTTAAAATAATCAGATGCACATTGGAAACTAAGTTTTTTGTTTTATTTTCAGATGCTGAACGATGATTTAAACTGAACGGCTAAGGTAAGAAATCTTTGGGAATATCATATCAGATACTGACTCTTTCTTCCAAAAGCATTGCCAAAGATGTATAAGTTCAGAGTACATTAATAGGAGAAATAACATTAATTCTCTACACCTCTGGAGGATTGTGTGGTTGTTTTTTTTTTTGTTGGAGTGTTAGGGGCTTGTTTTTTGTTTTTTTTTTTTTCTTTCCAAGTAACAACAAAACAACAGGACAATTTAAAGCTATTTAAGAAATCTTACTTCATTTAAGATGTTTAAGTGAAAGAAATGCAGCAGCGTGCTGTACTGAAAACTTCCATCCAGCTTCTGCAGATGCTGTAAATTGTGTAGTCAGTCAGTAGGGTTACATAGTAGTCCCTTACGAGTAAAGTCGTTGAAACAAAATTGCTTTTTAATGTCTTTAACTAAGTTTCTTTGGAGGTTCAAGCGCTCTTGTGATCCCAAATGACTGAGAAGGTATCTTTTTGTTGCTGTTGTTCAGACTGAAAAGTTTTCAGAAACGTAAACTGTTAGTGTGTTGTTTCTGGAAAATAAATGTTCTGGAAAGTGAAATTGAAGGCAACATCATGTGGAGGTGCTTGCCTGTTGGTTCTGGGGAAGCTATTTCTGCAGCCTCGGTGTAGAAGTAGCCGTATATTAATTGTGAAGTGTCCCCTTCAGTGAAGTGGAAAAATGGGGAGACATTCAGTACCCTCTGTTCTCATGAATGCATTATTTATTAAGAACTTGTTACTGTATAATAGAGTAGTTCAAATAACTTATTTGTTAGGTAATAGGAGGAATCAGGGAGATTAGGGAACATCTGTGGCATTTTGAAGCTTTCAGCGTGAGCCTGGAACTTAGCTGCTGGTAGTCGTGTGACTCCAAGAAGGCTTGTTTGTAACATGGTGTATGTTCATCCCTCGAGCTCTATGGAAGGTAACTGAACCATTCTTTTGTAATTGTTAAGCAGTTTTAATATTGTTGTGATACAAACCTGTGAAATGCAAAGGATTTATAAATATCGTTTTTCACTGTGCAGTGTAAGAATAAATTCACTTCCTCTGAACAGATTTTTAATAGAAGCAAGAACTTCCAAATCTGAGGAGGAGTAACTTGTATTGAGGCTTCAGCTGCTCTCAAAACTCTAAAGTATTTCTTATGCTCCACTGTAGATTGTTATACATTCAGAGATGGAGATGAAAAAATTCCTGGCATTTCTTGTTTCTAATGCAGGCCTTGATTCTAAGGCAGCACACAGTCATATGACTTTATACCAGCTTGTATCAGGTATTAATTCCATAATTGTGTTTTGTGGGTGATGTATATGCCAGCAATGCTAATTACAACTAGCAAGACCACATTCCTTCCTTCCAAGGAGGAGGCAGACCAGGCTACTTGTGACCTCCTTGCATTTTAAATAGATGCTCTTTTCACAAAAGCCTGCTTTGGCTGAGTTTCTTTAAGTTCCTAAGAGTATCAGGTTGGTACAGAAATGGCAGTTCTCCTCATACCAAAACCTACGTTTGGGCTCCTTGAACTGAAACTTTACCTGCAAGCAATTAAAATAATTTTCAATAGCATTAGGTGACATTAATGTAATGGAGGGTGAACCGTGGGCTGGCGCAAAATACAGGTGATGTAATTGCCTCAAATAAATGAATAAAACCCTTGAACACTAAAATGTCACAGTAAAAGATAAAAGCTTAATTGGTGTCACTAATTCATGATCTCTATGCTGGGCAGCCACTTTTCACTAGCACTGCCAAGGTGTCTGACAGTTTTATCGTGGAAAGTCTGCATAAACTAACTGAACTGGCATTGTAGACTTGTCCTGAGTAGCTGGCATCTGGAGTACCATTTGAATTAGTAGCAATGAGTTTGCTTTTGTAAACAGTTGTAATAGAAGTATTCCATTTGCTGCAGCTGCTTTATAAGGAGGGAAATAATGAATGTTAGTGTGTGAATGCTGTGATGAACGCAAGTCATGGGACTTCACAAGTGCTGTAATTTGGCCTTAATTCATTCTGTAGACCACAGCATTCACTGTGAATCAGTTGCAAATTTATTATTGATTGCAAAAGTCATGCTGCAGTCTGTGGAATAGATGACAGTTGTATTCTTAAGTGGATGTTGTTGTTATGAGTACCTACACTTTGTCTATATTGCATAGCCATCCTGTCTTTGCATGAAGCTTGATGTTGGTGAACTTTTAACACTTTCTAGATACATACAAAACTTTCTGCTCACTACTTCCCTTCTTAACAGTTTTCTTAACCTTTTACAGGTGTGGGAAACAAGGAAGATCTATTCTCTTAACAATGGCAGCAAAATCATCACTCCTCAAAGTAATACTGCTAGGAGATGGTGGAGTTGGGAAGAGTTCCCTTATGAACAGATATGTCACCAACAAGTTTGATGCACAGCTTTTTCATACGATTGGTGTGGAATTCTTAAACAAAGATTTGGAAGTGGACGGACACTTTGTCACTCTGCAGATCTGGGACACAGCAGGTCAGGAACGTTTTAGGAGCCTGCGGACTCCTTTCTACAGAGGTTCTGACTGTTGCTTGCTTACCTTCAGCGTGGATGACTCTCAAAGCTTCCAAAACTTAAGCAACTGGAAGAAAGAATTCATTTATTACGCAGATGTCAAGGAGCCCGAAAGCTTTCCATTTGTGATATTGGGTAACAAAGTTGATATAAGTGAGAGGCAGGTGTCTACGGAAGAAGCCCAAGACTGGTGCAGGAATAATGGCAATCATCCCTATTTTGAAACCAGTGCAAAAGATGCCACTAATGTTGCAGCAGCCTTTGAAGAAGCTGTTAGAAGAGTTCTAGCCTCTGAAGATAGATCGGATCATTTCATTCAAACGGATACAGTAAACCTCCATCGGAAACCGAAACCTAGTTCATCTTGTTGTTGACTTTTTCTTTTTTGCCAAATTACTTTCAACTAGCTTACTCTGTAAGAGGATGGGAAAAATGTAGATATAATAACAAATGGGTTCTGCTCTAATACTGAAGTTGTGATACTCTGCTGCTTTCCTGGAGGAGCAAAACCGATTTCCATTCGCAAGTGACCCGTTATTGAATTAGTGACACTTCCTATCAGGAAGGTGTCGAGTAAAAATCTTAATATAAGAATGTAATTTGCCAACTCTAAGTGAGAAATACTTTGAATATAGTTAAAACTTGAAGTTCTAGAAGCACTACTACGTGGAAACTGTTCTGGAATTCAGATACAAAGAAACTTTTATATGTATATATATTTTTATGAAATTAGCATTCCATTTTGTTTCACTAGAACTCAGTTTCTTAACAGTGCTAGATATTAAACTTTAGTCGCGCTGCATTCCTTTGGATGTGTGTGGAACTTCATCTCTAATGCATTTACTACAAGTTAACATAAATTACCTTCAAGTTTTCTGTAATTGCTATAATTTGTGTAGGTTTTTAAGTAGGAAATAAATTTCCTACCTATTTAATGTTCATCTTCCTTTTGTTTACTATTCTAATGCCATATGAATTTTTCCAGCAGTTCAATGCAAAATGTGATTTATTTTTTTAATGTCTTCCCCTTATGTCCCATTCTGGCATGTTTCTGATCAAAAGGGTAAAAAAAAATATCTGGATAAACAAAGTATTTTTCGTAACTGAAAATGGATACATGTACTTTATTTGGTCAGCTTTAGTAACTCTTGGTAATTTACCATAATGTGGATCTCCTCAAGAAAGCTTTTAGTATACAGCCTTAAAGTTCTGACCTTATTGTTCTTGTTCACCTGAGCTATGAATGTGTTTGTGATCTCTGTACTGTGAAACTAAGGATTTGCAATACATAGGGAACTCAGGAAGCTCTTGACTTAGCAGGTAGTGACAGCTTTCCAGTCTAGTACAAGTAGGTACCTATAACTAATGTTTGAGCCAAATCTGATGCCTATTTAATATGCCATCGTAGGGTAGAGACTTAAACTTTGGGATTACTGAACTCATTAACTGACAGTGAGCAGAAACAAGTTCCATGTTCAATGGATCATCTTTCTACAGTGTTGCAGATGAAGCCACAGGATGTGCTCTCCACTGCTGTCCCATGGTAGAATACTTGTATGAGAAGTTCTTGAAAGCTGTCTCTCAAGAGTGCTCAATATCCTTTTAATAGCAAACTTGATAATGCACTATTGCTTCAATGTGTAACCTGACTACAAGCATGCCTGTTAGCGTACACATTGTAGAGCTCAGAAGGAAATCAGAGGCCTACAGGACAGGCCATGTTTCTCACTAAATTGTGCAGACTCTGCTTTCTGTACTGCAACCTTTTTGTTGTAATAGAGAAGCTTTTCTAGATAGTACAGTAACAACAGGAGTCTTAACGTGTTTGCTTTGTACCAGATGTTATTTAGAAGTAAAGCTTGCAAAACAAACTTCTTGTTGCTCTTATATGCTTTCCTCAACGTTTTTTATGCTCATTTGAACCTGTTCATAACCATGTTTACTCCACAGATCTGCTGCTCCTGCTGCAAGGTGATATTTTGACAAATTTTGCATTCAAAGTCCTGTACGTACAGTGACAGAGTTGTGTTTTAAGTTTCAGTCACTGAACTGCAAAATACAGGCTGACCTGCTGCTTCTGTGATATTCAGATTTATAGTGAGTGAAGGAAAGATGTGAGGAAAGAAAGAAGGTAAGCTAGATTGAACCTTAATTTCCTTGAACCTTAACTTTTGCAGAAGTGAGACTAAAATAAAATAGATGAAATTACCTCTTGAGTATTATAATTAAAACTTTAATAATAAAATCTATAAAAGGAAATAAGGATGAAAACCAGGTGTAGTAGTTTTTCTTGTGCTTAATAGCCAATTTCTATTTTCTCTTGTTTCTCCTACATTTCTATGTAATGCCATGATTACCCAACCTCCTTATGAGAAGCAGGTTTAAACACCATTTAATACAGCAAGTGTAGTGCGCCGTGAGAACTGCTCTACCACAACTGTGCACTAATTACAAAAGTGGTAAAGGAAGTTTACTTGCTGTAGTGAATAAGACTGCAGCCTATGTAGAAGTTAGCTTTGGTGTGAGAGAGACTGCCAAGTACTTGGAAGAAGTGGCAGCTGTAGGACAAGCAGATACGGATTGTACCAAAATAAACATCTTCATCACACTCAGCAACACATACACATTTTTGTGAAGGCTTAACATTTCCCTTTCATTATGAAGGTGGGCAGTTGTGGTACATGTTTCAATTCCCTGACTCATTTCAGGTTAAGTATTAGGGGAACCTGTTAGTAACGTTTTGGCCACTGTATAAGTAAGAATGCTTTGCTTCAAGTGTGTTTGTTCATTTCATGTATGTGTCTAAAAAAATTTACGTGAGATTACGTGACGCTGTCAAAATGTTGTATGTTGCAGGTGTTATTAAACAGTACTGCCAAGACAAGTATTCCCACCTTCACTTAATGTCCTGCCAGTAGCTTTGCCCCACTTATCTGCTCTTCTCTTAAAGTCATTTAAAGTACAGTCAACACACATCCATGCTGCATCAGTCCTCCTTTTATTTAAGGTAAATATCACATTCTATATTGCACAGTGTTGCTTCTCACAGGGAATATTTTACAGTGATGCTTCAGCATTACGTATAAATTACAAAGAAATAATAACTGGTTGTACATAAAGTGCCTACATCTGTGGTCCCTTTAGTACACAAACTACACAAGATGTATTTATTTATTTAGAATAGTGTGCCTCTTCCTTTGGAAATTGCTTATCAGACACGTTCTGCAGAAAGAAACAGATTTCACAAAAGATTGTGACTAACCAATTGTGAAACCAGCCAAAATAGTAGGTATATATATGCTGAATGACCCCTTTAAAAAATCAGTAGTTTAAAATGAAGTTTTGCAAAAAAAAAAAAAAGAAAAAAAAAAGTACATAACCACATTTTAGAATGAGATAGTAGCCAAAGAGGCCCAGCAAAGTCCTTCTGAAATCTTACTGGAGGTTCAAAGATCCCAGTAGAAATAAATACCCTTTCAAAAGGAGTATTTCAGCACTTGCAGAGATAATAGAAAGATGGGGGTTTAAACACCTAAGTTTAGTTGTTGGGTTTGTTTGGTTTTTTTTTTCCATGTGTGAATTAGATTTGAAGTCAGTGCAGACAGCTGTTGTGATCTGCTCTGTGCATTTCATTCATGCAACACTGCAGCTCTAAGCACCTGTTGTGCCAAACGTGAGACATTTGCAACCTTAAGTTTAAAAAACAAACCTTGGAAGTTTTTTTTTTTAAAGTAAAACTTGCCAAAATGCTGAAGACAAAGCCTTGCGGATTTTTTTTTTTATTTTAATTTAGGGCTTCATAATACATCTATTATGTTGAAGTTTAATATATGCCTTATTTAATACTATGAAGAGTCCAGTTAGCCTGCAGAGTACATTCTCTAGGAAAAGACTAAGTAGAAGAGTTCACAACAGATTTATCCATTTAGGCCAATAAAATAAAAAACACCCTTTTGCTCATATTAAATCAACTCACAAGAGATTCAGAAGCCTTCAGTGTTTAGATCAGATGTCCTCTTACCCTCTGTAAGAGACTGTAAGAGACTTCGCACATGCACTGACATACCTCACTTCGTACCTATTCAGCCCAGACACTGTTACACTTAGTTTTTGTAAGACAAACTCCTTAAGGTACATTTTTTAACCAGAGAACTTGGCTGTTTTATCTGTATCAACAAGAAGAAAAGCTACTTCAGCATCCAATTTGTCAATCTTCAGGAAGATGGATATCCAGCATGCTGAGAACTACCCAGAACTACAGTTCAAATCAGGGAAGCATGGAAAAGGACTCACTCAGGAAAGTTATTTATTCAGCTCAAAAGGTGCTTCTTCCCAAGAAACTGCACTTTCCTTTCAAAGGCACTGGATCGAATTGGTGAATTGAGTTCGTAAAATGGGTTCATTGCAAACTGTGGAAAGAAAAAAATCTCATCAATAAGCACAATGCCCAGAAATAGGAAATGTTATTTTAAATGACAACTATTAGCTTTCAGCCTATTTAGTGCCATTGAAAAGCATGGGAAGTCTTCCTAGGAAGTCACTGACTTTGAAGGCTGTTGCATTCTCCCACACATGGGTGCACAGCCATCTCTTAGTAAGAGCTAAGAACAAATCTATCGTGACACTGATGGAAACCTGTTGTAGAAATTAGCATCCTTTGAGTCTCCGTAGGAATCTCAGATGGTGTCAGCGCTTGCAACTGCCCCATCTAGTGGTGATCCAGCCGGGCTGTGACAACACACTGCTACTTGTTCTGAAGAGAGAAGCACTTTGAGCAGACTGCTGTGTAACAGTCCTTTGCTTTCATTATCACCATTAATAACACAACACTGCCCAAAATGACTGGACTGAAATGAAAACGAAATCCTGAAGGAGCACAATCTATAGCAAACTAGAAAAATCTATTACATCGTAGAGAAAATGCAGCCTCCATGTCACATGTTATCAGCTGTGGCTGATGTGGTGTACAGTCAAAAAATACACAGCTGGAAGAGTAGCATGGCTAGGATGGTACTTTATATAGGTGTTATAGTTGGAAAGATGATCGTGGTGGAAAAGAGACAATCAAAGAAGAAATGCTCACTCATATCAAAGGATCTGGGCTCACAGTGGAAAACTCCAAAAACGAGAGATCTCCAGAAAGAGATCCTTCCCCAGTGGCAGTCAGCCCTTAAATGGGGTCTAGGAGGGGTGGAGCTTGGCTCCAGTCTGGTTCCAGTCACACAGGTGAATTGCTTTCACCACAGCTGACCCAGTCCTTGCCTCAGGTGATCCATCAGGCCATGATCCCACAGTTCCCACACATGTGGACAGTAGAGAAACTCTTCCCCTCACAAAGGTACCACTAACAAAACATATATTAATATAGCACATTGAGAGGTACTGCTGTGAAACTTAAAAATGGGAGCTTACCTTTATATACAAGTCATATACATCATTAAAGAAGTTCTTTATTCCATCTTCTTGCCTTATGTCATGAAGCATTATAAATCTCATATGTAAAACAATTAAGGAAAATTTAACTTTCCCAATGAAAGCATATCCCAAAATAAGCACGTGCACCTAATTCTCTATACACCTAAAATTTTTAGCTGTACACTAGAAATAAACAAGCATGTTTAAGGAATTAACTGAAGCAATGATATTTAGAAAGCAGTATTTGAAATTCCCATATGTGAAAGCAGAATCACCTTTCTTTGGAAGATCATTATTTTTAAAGCTAGAAAATTTGTAACATCAGGGATATTCTCAGAATCTTTTCCATACATCCCTGAAATTAAAATGTTACTCGCTATGCATAACAAATGTTTCACAAGGCGTTCTCTTTGTGACCATCTGCACAGAGCATCAAGCCATGACACTGCATTTTCAATATGTGCACAACTGACATCAAGTACTTTTATCTCTTCTCTTCTTCTAACATTACCAAAGGAATGTAAGCAGACAATCATACAGGCCTGCTCAGAGCCCTTCAAATAAATGTGCTTTCATTGCTTTTTCCTCTACTCCTCATGAACTTCACATTTCATTCAGGTCCTCCAAGAAGAAAAATCTATCTCCAGCTATTTCCAATTTTAAATAACTGCTGTGCCCCCTAACTCACTTCATCCTTCATCTCCACTTCAGGCTGGGAATTCTGACAATAATAATGGTGAACAGCCAGAGAAATGCATTCCAAAGTCATTCCAACTGGTTTATCACTTTCTGACAAAAGGCTCAGTAAATACCCAGAAAGAGAAGAGGAAAGGATATGTCCAGCCGTGACAAAAGCAGAAACAAACCATTCATTAAACTTGTCCACAGTCTTCAGATACATGTTGTTAGAAAGCCACATGTTCTCATCTACTAGGTCAAGAGCAGCATGGGCAATGAACTGGTTGAGATGGCGATGATCATCCTAACACGTTTCCAGAAGACAGAGGATAAGTAATTCAGTGACGGGAGTTAAGTATAAGCAATCATTTGCTCAACCTGGTAAACAACTAGTACGCAAGTTACATAAGTTCTATATACTCTTCTTTGCTGCCACGTGTGCCATGCTGTAAAGAAATGAGATCAGTACAGATTGTTATGACACTTGGATTCAAGGGAAGGAAAAGAGCGTAAGAAAATGGTCATCATAAAGATAGTCTTGAGAGCAGCAAAACCAATAAAGCTTGCACTTTTAGCTCATGGACGAATTCACCTGTGGATTCTTAGCTTTACCAGTGCAAAATCTCCCCCTACAAACTTATTCTGCAATGGAGGTCCTGGTGAAAGTCTTTCTCTCTGCTCTCCAGTCACCTATTCTTGAGAAATTTCCCCCAAATTACCATGTTTTGGACCATAACCTCTCTGTCAAATTTGCCTGAAATTAAGCAGTCAGCTACTACAGCCTCACCAGTTCCACACCAAGCAAGAAACTGAGTAGTGAAGCTTAAGGAGCTAAAGCTTGCACAGGGCTGCACATCCAACCATTTGCTTTAGGAGCCTGTGCACACTCTTACATAGTGTGTCTCAGGAACAGGAGCAAAGGTTCCCAAAACACATCAATATACCAGTATCTACTTGTTCCTCAGTGCACATCAAGTTTAAATCCTTTCTTGGGGGAAAATTTAGGAAAATTCAGTCCCACAAGCTGAGGCAGACAAAACTCTTATCCAAGTGTGGTATTTCTGTCAGCAGCAAGTAGGAAAATATTTTTCCACTATCTGACACATCCTCACACAAAATCTAGTCTGAGTGTCTTATTCCTTATCTTATTCAGTACACCAATATAAAGCATAGGTGACAGCATAAACCTCTGGGCCTGTCCAAAAAAACAGAAATTCACTTGCTTTTAGTCTGAAGCCTGCTTTGTCCTTAATGTAGTATCACAAAAAAGAGACTTGTCCTTTTCCCACTGGAAACATTACATGTTGAGCAGTCTTATATTTCTCGCATGCTCAAACACAGTTGCTGCTACAACACACTTAATGTGAGTCTGACAAATGAAGATGACTTAAAACTATTTCCTGTGGTGAAAAGCATTTGTGAAGAACTGAATAGAGCTTTTCAAATTTGCCCCTTTACCTTACTGGATACCTTACAATAGAGACACTAAGTAGCATTATATAATGAACAGGTGTTATATAAGCAGTAAGAGCAATGAACGAAAGATGAGATGGGCTGCTCCAAAAGTAATGCCTCCTGTTTTATTCTGTTGGCCCACAACAGCAGACATGGAAGATGATGGCATGGCAGTAGGGGCTGAATCTCCCCAACAATATCCCATTACACTTTGTTGCTGTGCAACAGATGGCAGCAGAGGAGCAGTCTGACACAATTGCACCTGACATGGAAGTGTGTGTGAAGGAAAGGAGTGTTAGTGAACTCCTCCATGCTGGAAAAAGCGTGCACCCACTGACCTTCACTGATGCTTGCTGAACGTTTCTGGTGACCAAACAGTGGATGTGAACTCAGAGAGGGGTAGGTAGTGAGTTTTAGCAGTGCTGACAGCAGGGCACCTCCCTTGGTGCTGACTGTTACATGCACAGCATGCAGGCTCTTGCTTATTGCTGGCAAAAATGCACAACTAATGGTGATGACTGTGCTGAAAAAGTCTGTTCTGTAGCTGAGAACTTGCACTATCAGTGTTATTATGCTCTTTGTACTGGTTGTAGTTTCCACGGAAATAGGAGGCATACCTTAGGAGTGGCCTATGTATATATTCGTTCACAGAGCAGCATTAATTACTTAAGGAAATCATATTTTATGAAGAACAAATACAATCCAGGAAATAAATATTAGAAGACCTAAGTACCCCAGAATTCTACTCCCTGTTACAAAAAGAAAGCATTCAATACGAGGTAATAATACTTTCTACAACATGTTGGCTGTGTTTCTAACAGTGTGAGAGCACATAGAAGGGGTTATCACAGGACACATCAGGGGTTATCACACCTTGGACTCCGCTTTTCCAGGAGGCAGGAATTCCATCTCAAACACGGGGTTGTCATGATGGCCAACTATCACGAAGTAGAAGCTTCCCGACATTCTTCAAGACAGCGTGCCTGAGGAGAAAAGACAGAGAGAAATAGGCGGTGGGAGAGATAACGCTGGCTGGGGGGGGGGGGGGGGGATGGAGGCAGACGCCACATAATAGAGAACGGCGGGGTGAGCCACCCGCCAGGAGCGCAGAGCGCGGTGTGGCACCTCGGCCTCGCAGGACCCCTCCCGAAGGGGCGGCGGGCAGCGCAGGGCGGACAGTTGGAGCCCTTTTCTCCCGCCTCTCGTACCGCGCCCGACCCCTCACCCCGCGCCGCGGTTCCTCAACGTCAGGCAGCGGCCGCCCGGAAGCGCTGTGCGCTGCCCGCCCCATCCGGTGACGCCGCGCTCGGGCCGGCCGGGAGCCGCCGCGTTGTGCCGCGGGGCGGGATGGCTGAGGGGAAGAGGGAGGCTCTGTCGCAGGATGAGCTCCGGAAGAGGCTCTATCAGACCTTTAAGAACCGAGGCGTGCTGGACACGCTCAAGGTGTGTGTGGTTTGGCGGCGGGCGCTGCCCGTGATTCGCCGTAACGGAGAAAGCGGTGACGTTCTGCGCTGAGTAAATCCCAGAATGATAGAATGTCCCGAATTGGACGGCACCCGTAAGGATCATCTCCGGCCTTTCCCCTTCTCCCCGGACACGGTGGTTTTGCTACGGCCTAATTGAGACCAGCGCTTTTCTTGGTGCTAGGAGCAGGTGTTTGGTAAACACAAGCGGTGCTCTCTGTGGGTTAGTCTCAGGGTGTTGGTCAGGAGGGTTAACTACTGGAAGAAAGCACTAATGAATTATTCTCCTGTTGATTTTTTTTTTTTTTTTTTTTTCTTTCCAGTTCTGCTTATAGTGGGTCAGGCTGCTTCCACATCATCTTCTCTTTCAGGAGAATGTCATAGAATGTGGTGGAGTCCAATAGCGATGCTTTATTCTGCTTGTAGGCTAGATTTGTTATTTGTGGTTCTTCTGGCTCTTACTCATGTGCTGAAGGTGTCCTTCAGGCTAAGTAGCTCCTGCTCCTCTTTAGGAGCCTTTAGACAGTAGTTGTGCCTTTCCTCCAGCATTCAGCCTTACCATGCCGAGCAAGTCAGGGTGTAGCAGATTCATTGCCGGTCATCCCAGCAGTCACCTGCATGAGTATGAAGTCTTTTCCCTGTTCTTAAAGCAAGCTTCTCACAATTGCATTGAGCTTTCCAAATAAAGCTTAGAGCACTGTTAATTCTTGCCTGTTTCTTTGGAAGGCTGCATGCATCTTGTTTTGAGGCATGTTACAACTGCACTAAGTAGGTCAGCAGCCCTGCCTGCAGCAGGAGGGTTGAAGCTTGATGATCCTTGAGGTCTCTTGCAACCCAAGATATTCCATGATTGTAGCACTGGTCGTTGTTGGAAGGATGTCTGCTTTTCCCAAGCATCCCATATGTATAGCAGAATATATATAACGCCTTAAATGTTGATATCTTGTCTTTCACAAGGCCTCATTTTTGCTGTGCTCAAGCATCTGATTGTATTGCTTATGATGTACTGATCTACTTTTATTTCCAGCTTTATGTCACCAGGATTTTTTTTTAGCTCCTATTTTTATGTCAAATTCAGTAGAGTTAAAAAATAATCAAGATCTGTATTTCAAGAATGCAGCTGATAAAGCCAAGAATCTCGTATTCAGGACAGCTTATTTTCTCCCTCAGTGATTTCCATAGCAAGCTTTCAATGCTCAGACCATCTTCCACATCTTGTTTGATTTAACTCATAGTGATGTGCTATCTAAGTCTATTTTCCTGCTTTAATTTTCCTTGCCTAGAAGATTATTCATTCTATTAAAGATTTTGTAGCTGGAGACACACTTGCATCTTCCAAAGACAACGCTTCAGCTTTCCCTTGATCTCTTCTGACTGCCTCTGCGGGTCAGAGGCAGGGTGGGTCTGAACCTTCAGGCATGCTGAGTGACCAGGTGCTTCTTATCAATGAGTAGTAGCACAACTGATGTTTGTCTTGCTTTCTCTCAGCAGGGACAGGGATTTAGTCCTGTTTTCCACTCCAGTTGGTCACACAGTGTACAGGAAGTTGCTTGTCCCTGTTTTGGAGACACCCTAATCTCTGTCGAAATTAGCTGAAATGAAACAAGTTCAGAAATTAGGAGAAATGATTTTTTTATCAGCTACTTTCATTTTTCTCTGTTGTCAACCTCATTTACACAGCCATGCTAAAGTATCATCAGGGCAGTCTGATGTGATCTAGCAATTGCTTTGCTGAGCATTTCATATTTTATCCCATTTTTGCCAATATAATTTCTTTAATCAATCAACTTCAAAAATGTTGTTGCTGTTGCATAGTTGCTGTTGGGATGGAATCAGCAACTTCTTCACATAGGACTCTCTAGAGGTCTAATGAGTTTTCCAAGTACACTTGAAGCCGAAGAATGTCAGACAGGCTTTGTTTGAGACAATAGATAAGAGAACAAGAAAGCAGTGATCTGAAATTAAAACTGAGGGTACTGGAGTGGAGCTTATGTGTGTTCTTTGACTGAGTACTTCTCAGTCCTACACCTGTTACGTCTTAAGGGAAAGCCTAAGATTGCTTGAGCACTTGAATGTTTTGAAGAAGAGCACTCCTCTAAGCTCTGCCAGCATTAGGCTGCCCGCTTCTGGTATGTAGGTTGTAATGTAACATGTGGAAGTAAAGCAAAAGCCTGCTAATTTTTGATAAACAAAACCTCTTGTTATAATCTCAGGTTACCTGTTATTGAATGTTTTTCTTGTGTCAGACGCAGCTCCGAAAACAACTCATCCATGAACTTATGCATCCCATTTTAAGTGGAGAGCTTCAACCACAGACTGTTCCAAGTGATGACTGTTCGCTTTTGATCACAGCTTCCAACAGTTTGGTGGCAGACCATCTGCAGAGATGTGGCTATGAGTATTCACTTTCTGTTTTCTTTCCAGAAAGTGGCTTAGAGAAGAAGAAGGTAAGTTTGGTAATCCATTTCCTTAAAGACTTCTGTACGAGCTTTACTTTCTGGGGAGTTGCTATATTCCAGCAGAATTGACAGAAATCCCTGTTAGGGATCATCTCTATGAAAGTCTTAAATATTATGAAAACTTTAAACTCACAGTAAGCTAAAAGCACTGTATTGGAAAGGCGTACCCTCCTAGCCACATGCTTGCTTCACCCATAGCCATGGTTTGACGTGACAATTCACATGGCTGTGTTGCAGGCCACTTGGGGAACCAACCATTATTAAAGCTAGCCTCATTTTTAGCCATTCAGTTTTCCTGAAAGTGTGGTTCATGATCAGTTTCTGTTTCTAGTTATGAGTTCTGGCTGAAAAGGGCAGCCTTTGCCCTTTATTTGTTTGTCCTCTGTGCGTAAATGATAATATGGTGATTTTTTTTTCTAATAGAAAATTAATTTCTTGAGCTGGTGAGCAGTTAGTTGTCATTTGGATTAGTGAGCTCATCTCATTAATACGGTAAATTAAGAGAAGAGGCAGGGGAGGGTAGCAAGAGCACGCATCCTGGTTTGGGAGGAAACAAAACCCTCTCTTCACAGCTTCAGTTTGTCATGGAACTATGCACTGACTGCCATGTATCTTTGGTAGCAGAGAAAAGCCAATGCGGTACTTCAGCAGTAAGCTTCTGAAAATGGTTTTGCAAGGTGATAAATAGAGCTTTCTCAAATGGAAAACATTCGACAACTGTAAAATGATTGTTAAAGTATTTAACCTTTTCTACTTTCTCTTTTTTTATTTTTCTGAAAGCTGTTGTCTGTCCAAGATCTTCTTCAATTATTGAGGATCAGTCCAAAATCCAGTTTGTACAAATCACTGGTAAAGTTGTTTTGATTCTCAAAGTAAGCTAAACTTACAGTTGTGATGATGTAGACTGGCTAAAATGCTATCTTCTTTCTTACAGACTTTGGGAACTCAGAAGGAGAATAAAGGTAAAAGATACTTGTGTATGATGCAAACAATGGTAGTTGTGTCACCTTCAATTTTATTGAGATGCTCGCAAGAGAAACTCAGATTTATTGAGCATATGTTGGTCTGGATCACTATGGATTTAATAAGATTTTGAAACCTGTACTACGTAAGGTATTAAATATAATGATCTTGGATGTTTTTCACTCCAACGTTGACAAGCTTCACAACCATTAACTTGCATGTACTTCAAACTTCAGTTAATGACTTAATAGACTTTTTTTTTTTTTTTTTTTTAATGTGGGAAATCATTCTTACATCTGCATGATGAAATGTAGCTAGATGAAATAGCCAGGAATATCTTGGTCGTCAGAAACCACTGTTCCCTAATGTCATTGTAATTACGGTACTAATACTCTGCTCCATCAAATGACCGTACGGTCAAAGAGACAAAGAGAAACAGAAGAAAGGAAAAGAATAAAATAGAATAGAATACACTTTTAATAAAAAAATACTTCCAGTAAAAATCAATAGTTTACTAGCATTGATTTTTATTCAGTATTCACTGTGTTCTTTCAATGAATTGAGTTATTTTTATTCGCGTAGTGAAAATGACATTATTTACAGGCTTGAAAATTAAATTTTAATATGAGCTTAGAAGCAACTAATCTGTTGGATCTTGAAAGGTTTTCTTATGCAGGTTTTGATGGGGCTTACAGAGCATCATTTAAGTAAAGAATGTCATGACAGAGAAACTCAGACAATCTCCATGCCTCCTTACAGAGAATCTCTTGGTAAGTGCAGCCTTTGCAAGTAAGTCTCCCCAGCAGTTCCATGTTGGTAAACGATATGGGTGGTTTACATTCATCACTTATCCAAATGCAACCTAAAGTAACAGTGAATAGAGGTTATATGTTCTGGAAAACATAACTGTAACTGCATGCATTGCTTTTCTGTGTCATAGTGTCTCAGTTTTTTAGGCACAGATTGGGAATTTTTGAATTATAATACACACACAGTATTATTACAAAAATGTAGAAGTTACATGCAAAAGAAAACTCTTGTCCTCTGTAGTAGGGGGGTGAATGTCTAAATACGCCACAAATAGTGCCTGAACAGCTGAGGCTGTCCTGTTGTATGATGTAGAGCTGATAAATGGCATTTCGGTGCTACCACTGACACATTTCTATGATGGTGATATTTAGGTACACTAAGGAACTTTGCACAAACCCATAGTGCCATACAGTTTTTGGTGGGGTAAGCATGATCACTAATTCATGACTAACTCCTTTTTTATAGCTGAGAAACTTCAGCTCATCGATGAGCAGTTTGCTGATTCCTATCCTCAGCATCAT